TATTATTATAGAAACACTCAGAAAACTCCATGTCATTTCTTTGCCAAAGAGCTGAATAGCACTCCCTAGGACAAACTGCAATTCACACATAAAGCCCCACATGGGTGCACTCTACATATCTGCAATGCAGAGGGCCAGGAACCCCTGAGTTCAGTCCTACTGTAGTCCCATTACTGAGCTGATAGCCAAGCACATGGGGAGCTAGCTGATTGCAGTTATAAATTACATCAGTCAACATTTCCTTCCATTCTTTGATATAGAGCACTATGAAGCAATGAGTATATTAGTGTTCAAACTTCAGTGTAAACAGCAGAACCATTCTGGTAAGTCACTTAGTCTTCTAACATAGAGTTGTTATTATAGAAACACTCAGAATCCTCTAGGCTGTTTTTCTGCCACAGAGCCACACAGCACTCTCTAAACCAAATTGCCATGCACAGGTGAAGCCTCAGAGGGGTGCACTCTACAAGTCAGTAATGCACAAAGCCAGAATCTCCCATGAATTCAGTCCAGCTGCAGTCATTTACTGAGTTGCCAGTCATGCACTTGGAGGTGTAGTGGTTGCAGTTACAAACTGCACCACTCTTTATTTCCTTCACTTCATTTCTACAGGGCACTATGAAGCAATGACTATATTACTGTTTGAACTTCAGTGCAAAGAGAATAACCACTCTGCAATCTCACTTAGGCTTCCAGCAGAGTTGTTATTATAGAAACACTCATAAACTTCCAGGCCATTTTTTTTTTTGCCACAAAGTTGCATGGCACTCACTAGGCCAAACTTATCTGTACATGTGAACACTCAGAGGGTTGTAATCTACAAATCAGTAATGCAGAGATCCAAGTACTCCCCTGAGTTCAGTCCTATTTCTGTCCCTTTACTGAGATGATTGTCAAACACTTGGAGGTCTAGCTGGTTGCAGTTACAAAGTACAACCCACTTCATTTCCTTCCTTTCATCTCTATAGGGCACTAGGAAGCAATGAATATATTCATGTTTGAACTTCAGCAACTAAATCATACTGGGAAGTCACTTATGTTTCCAACATAGAGGTGTTATTATAGAAACACTCAGAAATCTCCAGGAAGTTTCCTTGCTGCAGAGCTGCATAGCATGCTCTAGGCTGGGAAGTCACTTATGTTTCCAACATAGAGGTGTTATTATAGAAACACTCAGAAATCTCCAGGAAGTTTCCTTGCTGCAGAGCTGCATAGCATGCTCTAGGCCAAACTGCCATGCACACATGAAGCCTCAGAGGATTGTACTCTACAAATCAGTAATGTAAAAAGTGAGGCACTGCCATGAGTTCACTCTGACTGCATTCCTTTTCATAAGTGAGAACAAAGCACTTAGAGCTCTCAATAGTTGCATTTACAATTGGCACCACTATTCATTTCCTTCTAATCATTTCTATGTGGCATTTCTATGAAACAATGAATATATTAGAGTTAAAAGTTCAGTGCAAACAGAAGAACCATTCTGGAAAATGAGTTATGCTTTTAACATAGAGTTCTTATTAGGGAAACCCTCAGAAACTTCCTGGTGGTTTCTTTGCCACTGAGTTGCACTATAGACCAAACCACCATGCACAACAGACACCTGAGTGGTGCACTTTCCAAATCAGCAGTGCAGAGAGCTAGGCACTTCCGGGAGTTCAGTCTGGCTGTCCTCCTTTTCTTGAGGTGACAGCCAAGCACGTGGAGCTCTCGCTACTTATACTTACCAACTGTAGAATTCTTTCTTTCCAGTCATTTCTATGAGGCACTAAGAAGCAAAGAATATATTAGTGTTCAAATTTCAGTGCAAAGAGCAAAATCATTCTGGAAGGTCAGTTAGGCTTTTAAGATAGAGTTCCTATTAGGGAAACACTCAGAAATGACCAGGTCTTTTTTTTCTTTTCTTTTTTTGCCATATAACTGCATAGCACACTCTGAAAAACTTCCATGCACAAGAGACTCCTCAAAGGGGTGCACTTTTCAAATCAGTAATGCAGAGAGCCAGGCACTCCCACAAGCTCGGTCCTGCTGCATTACCTTTACTGAGCTGATATCCAAGCAAGTGGAGGTCTAGCTGGTTGCAGTTACAAACTGCACCATTATTCATTTCCTTCTTTCTGTTTCTATGGGGTATTATGAAGCAGTGATTATGTTAGTGTTCAAACTTTAGAGCAAAGAGCAGAACCATCCTGGAAAGTCAGTTAGGTTTCTAACATGGAGCTGTTATCAGGTAAACACTCAGAAACCTCTAGGCCATTTTTCTGCCTTAGAGCTGCATAGCTGTCTCTGTTGCAAAGAAAGTGCCTGGAGAGTGTTGAGTCTTTCAGTAAGTTAAACTCCATTATAGAAGACTGACATACAGGAGTCATTCTGTTCAGGTCTGTAGAGTAAGATATTCATTGATCCACAGTGTTGCATAGCAGTGAAAAGAAGATTATCTGCTAACCTGCAGTTTATAAATGCAACCAGCTGGAGCTCCTAGTGTTTTTCTGTAAAGTACCCTCAGGCAATGCAGTCTGGTTTTACTCACCAGAATGTCTACTAATCTGCACCCTTCACTTTCAGAGCACGCCTCTATTTCAAGCTTCTATTTGAAGGGCAAAAGTGCCTTGACAGATATATGTACCTTGGTTGCAGAGAAAGTTTCTGGAGAGTGCTGAGTCTTTCACTATGTTTAACTCCACATTAAAGGACTAACTGATCTTCAAGAATACTTCTGTCACTTTAACTCTGATTAGCAGAAAGAGATACTCATTTATACACTGTGCCACATATCAGTTCAAGGAAGGTATTCTCCTAAGGAGCAGTTTACCAGTGTAACCAGGTAGAGCACCCAGCTTATCTGTATAAAATTTCTTCAATTTATGGAGTCCGGGTGTACTCACTCTAGTGTCTACCTATCTGCAATTCTCATTTTCAGAGGATATTTCTAGCTAAGGTTTCTACTGTGAAAGGCAACATTAACTAGAACGATGCATATTGCTCAGTTGCAAAGAAAGTGACCAGAGCATGTTCATTCATTCAGTGTTTAAACTCCATGTAAGCAGACTGATATTCAAGAATCATTCTGCTACTTCAACTGATTTTTGTAGAGTAAGATACTCATTTGTCCATAATGCAACATAGCACTGAAAGGAAGGTTCACTCCATAGTTGCATTTTGTAAATATAATCAGCAAAAACTTCCAATGTTTCTATATAAAATATCTTCAGTGATTGGAGTCTGTACTCACTACAGTGCCTATCTGCAATTCGCATTTTTAATGCCCACATCCCTATGAGGCCTCCAAAGACGCAACACTGTTTACAACTAGACATGTAGCTCTGATGCACTGAATGTGACAGGAGAGTGTTCAGTCTTTCAGAATGTTAAACTCAATGTTGGCAGACCAACTGAATTGAAGAATTCAATTCAAACCGCTTTAACCGCGGTTTGAAAAGTACGATATACATTTGCCTATACTGTAACATACCAGTGAAAGGAAGATTCTCTCCAACATAGATGCAAAAATCCTCAATAAAATACTAGGAAACAAGGCAGCAAATCAACAAGATTATACACCATGACCAGGTAGGATTCATCCCAGAAGTTCAGGGACCGTTCAACATTTGCAAACCAATAAATGTAATACATCATATCCACAGAGCCAAAGACAAAAATCACACGATCATCTCAACAGATACAGAAAAAGCTTTTGATAAAATCCAACACTCATTCATGATAAAAACGCTACAGAAAATCAGAATAGATGGTCTTCATCTCAATCTGATCAAAGCCATCTATGACAAACCAACAGCCAACACCGTACTAAATGGACAAAATCTAAAAGCTTTCATTCTAAAATTAGGAACAAGACAAGGATGTCCATTATCACCACGCCCGTTCAGTATAGTTCTGGAAACATTAGCCAGAGCAATTACACAAGAGAGAAATAAAAGGAATAAGGATAAAAAAGAAAGAAGTTAAATTATCATTATGCACAGATGACATGAAGACCCCAAAAACTCTACCAAAAGACCTCTAGAATTAATAAGCAAATTTGGTAGCATAGCTAGATACAAAGTCGACACTCAAAAACCCATAGCATTTTTTTACACAAACAACAAACTCACTGAGAGAGAAATTAAGGAAACCACACCTTTCACAATAGCATCCAGAAAAATGAAATACCGAGGAATCAATGTAAGGAAAAGCACAGGGGCGTCTCTACTTTCCTATAGCGTCGGATTTCTTTACAATGCCAAAAAAACTCTATATATCAAAATTGGTCTTCAGAAAAGCAGTGTCTCCTTCACAGACAATTGGAAATTCATCTTCTGTACCAGAATTATTTCATTACTAACATCTCTGAGTAATGAAATGTTCATGACTTAAAAGTAACTAGAAGTCCATCTGTACGCAGGGACTCCCCGCGCCCCCTGTACGCGCTCCGCGGGTCAGCCCCGGCCAGGGCCGGCCCGCGGAGCACAGGCTGTGTGACGCCATCGCGGTCGCCTAGGCCGTGCTCTGCCTCGGAACGCGGTGCGACGCGAGATCGGCTGCCGCGGGGCCAGCGCCATGCTGCCC